TTCTCAAACTTATTACAACATGATTTCTCCATTGATTCTCCATTTCATGACCCCTTTAAATGCTTAAGCTTTTTAAGCATTTGCAATCGATTGCAATTTTGGTTTTATTAAAAAAAACAAGATGCTAATTACCTGATAATTAGGGTTGTCAATCATTGGTGACTTCCACTTGCCCTTGTAGTTGGGGTTGTCGATCATTGGTCTCTCCCATGGGCCGCAGCCGGGGGCCGTTTCACAGACGGGATTGGGGATCTGAGGTGCTTCCCACTCGCCATCCATATCCTCATCCCTAAAAGAGACGAGCACAGATGTAGTGCAGTTATGAAAGAAAACCTCACACACGACGTGCTCCTCATATTTCTATTTCAGCTGCTCTCTTGGTTAAGGCTATAATTACAACAATTAAATCTAGATCATCACCCCAGGAGTCCTAATTTCTTCATTAAAATCAGCTCACTTCACCACTGTCCAACACATAATAACTCAGTCTTTTACATGATACAGAGCGATTGTGCGTTCATTACAATGCAGCTCATTTGTATTTATGTCTCTATATATTTATGAACAATCACACAGCCAAAGCTATATAGTATATATCAGTTTACGTAAGTATCTGTATGGATGCAGGTAATGTAGGATCTACGGTCTATAGCCAACAATTAATACAAAAAAAAATATTGTAACATTCATATTGCTGCTAACTTTTTAACTGAAAATCGCAATTTGATTGGATTGTAAAAAGTAGATTTTTATTATTATTAATATTATTAGTTTAAATGTTTATATACGTTATTATACAAGTTTCTCCAGAGGAGGAAAAAGTGATATCTTGATAAAAGATTTTTTTTAAAAAGTGTTTTTCAGTAATTGTCATGCACTGTAAGAGCAAAAATAAAGTTTTCTGAAGACTTTTAAAGTAATGGAGAAAGTCTTACCAGTCCTCTGGCTTGAGGGCATCGGGGTCACTGATGTACTCTGGCTCATCGTCCAACCAGCCGTCGGGTTTCACAGCATCTTCATCAGGAATCTTAGCGGGAGCGTCTTCGTCCCTAAATTACAAATACATCAAATCAGAAGGATATGGACAAAACGTGATGCCTTTGATCCCCAGTGTAACACACATAAGATATTCACTGTCCAAAATACCCACACTTGCTGTCTTGGCTACTTGAGAGCGCACGACAGGAAGTGAGTGTAATATCATTTAGTAGAAAAACAAAGTGTTGCACTTTTTATTGGTGCAAAGATGGTTAGTGGTGATATTTATTTTGTACAACATTTGCTACTGCTTTTTATCACTTAAT